ACACACACACACACACACACACACACACACACACACACACACACACACCATCTGTATCCTGTGCGCTGTCATGGGTCACAACCTGGGGGAGATTTATTTTCACAGCACTTATTTTGTTCTGTATTTGATGTCAGACAATGGTCAGATATGCRCACAAAGACTGTTTTTATCTTCCCCTCTGAGACCCTCAGAAAAGATTTACTGTAACATTTTGGGGGACGTTGTTGTTCTTTATTGATGGTCATAAATGATGGTGTTACATGGGCTCTGTCTCTGAACACAGTGTTTGTTATATAAGATGGTGTGGAGGCGGGAGCAGGGGTAATCCTGGGTGATCAGCTCTGGGATGGGATTCAGCTCTGAAGCGTGGTCTGTTGGTAAACTCTGCAAATGAAAAAGAATTAAACACGTAGAGCACTTGTCAGATTGGATCTAGTAGAAACCAGTCTGCTGCACGGTGCTGCAGTGGTTGGTGACGGTGCTGCGTTGGTTTATTTTCTCTCACGTTCTGTTTATGATCAACACAGTGGTGGATTTTCAACAGAAATGAGGTCACCGGTGGTGGGCACAGTTCCGCTAATATGCTAACAGCTAATAGTGAAACAAACTATTTGTTTGGCAAATTAGCATTTTCGCTACTTTCAGAATCTGTTAGCAAACCACTTAGCTTCCGCTAAATTTAGTTCTGCTAACTCTAAGTCTGCTAATGAAAGCAAAACCAACCATCCCCTGCATCATGGCCCTTGTATGAGCGTGCAGCATCTTTAGCATTATAGCCTGCTCTCCACGGGCCTGCTGTATGTGGTTCTCCTTGGTTCTGCCTCRGCCAAATGTCTCCATTTCCGGTTCCAGCTGGGCTTTCAGAACCACTTTGGCAGTGGTTCTAAACTGGTTTACGGTTTTGACGTCAGTAGACTTCTGCACATGGATTGGCTGAGCCGAGGCAGAACTTTCAAACTCCTCCAACACAATAAATACCTTATCTTCCTCATTAATGACCAACCAGTGGTGGGTGCAGCTAACCAAAACGTTAGCTTTGCTAACCGCCAATCAGCCAACTAAAAATTTAGCTTTACAAACATTAAGCCACTAAACAGGTAAGAAAATTAGCAGAAGCTAGCACTAACTAATAACCGCTAACTCAAGTTCTGTCATTTAACCATAGATGTGATGTCCACTGTGCGCGCATAACCAATATGTCTGCTGAAAGCACAGACCTCACAGATTCTAAAACTATAAGTTTCATCACAATCCAACCAGGATTCACTGAACCACAAGCAAATAAGACAAGAATTATGTCTAAAGATTGAAAAACATATTCAGAAAATCCACCTCMCCTTTGCTGTTCTGACTCTGAATCTTTAATCCACCGAGATAAAACTGTACAAACTGAGTAACTACATCTCCCAGAGTGCTTTTGGGCTTTTTCCCCAGCTAAAACCACCTTTTCTGATCACATTACAGGGATTTGAGAGGACAAAAGAGACTGACTAAAACTGTGTCACACGTCTWCRTCTCCTTCCAGTTATAGAYTAACACAGGTGGACACACAAAAGCCTCCATTGTCCAGTCTCCCTCTATTCAGTTCACGGCTCCATCCAGCTCAAGCTGTATGAGCTCGTCTCCTTCACCTCTCTCCAGGAAGAATTTGTTGGGACATATGATCAATATCAATAGAAAATACATCTGACAGAATGTTGATAATTTTACTGATCTATAATCCAGAACCTCACAGCATTCTGGGGATGAGGAAAGGCTTTAATTTAACAGCTAAACAAGGTTGGTGGCATCAACAAACTCACTCTTTGGTAAGCTAGCAACAACCTGATGTGTAACCTGTTGTGTTATGCTCAGTAGCAGTTTCATGTTTCACCACCGTGCCTCAGAACTGCTTAAAAACAATAAAGTATGACGTGGAGTGAACAGAGAAAATGAGATTAACAGCTCGAGAGGAAATTGTGAATAAAAGAGGAAAGGTCATATAAACAGTTTGGTAGCATTTATCAGCCTTTTTCTGTCCTGGTCCATTAGTCAGATAGGTAAAACAAAAAACAAACCAATAATTATCAATACTGACTGATATGAAAATGATATTTTAATGTATTTTTCAGCCATATCACCCAGCCCAAGCTAAGACGATACTCAGTGGTCAAAACAACAAGCGCGCAAATGAGTCGTCACACCTCTTGTTTGTATTTCTCTAAAAGATTGTTACAAATAACGAATCTGACCTTTTTTCTTTTCCAAAGCTGACACACTCCTGTCCTCTCCATGCCATTTCCTCTGCTTTGACTCTGCTGCTGCAGTGGCCCACCAATGGGAGGTCTTCACTTTCTAATTCTGGATTCAATTAAAAACTTTTTTAATGCTTATAATTAGTTTCATTATTCTGCCTCAGAGCCAAGGGCACTGTGATACTTGAAGAAAAGCGCATGCGTACACACACACACACACACACACACACACACACACACACACACACACACACACACACACATTTGTTGCAGACAACATTTTGCTTTGTTCTTGGGGGAAAACGCTGAGTTTTATGTTTTTGGGGTCTTTTTTTCCAAACCTGCTTCTTGTGAAGTAGAGTGGGGATCAAAGATTGTTGTTTTAGTTCTGTGTGGATTTTTGTGTTGCTGGGCCTGTAGAACTGAAACAGTGCAGAAGCGTACTGTATATGTAAAGTGATCTGCTGTCCTCAGAGACTGGTGGTACTTTGGAAAAAAAAACGTATTTTAGCTCTGATGCTGTGAGATAAAAAAAAAAGTACTGCTTATGTGTGTGTTTTTTTATGGTTTTACTTCAGACATCTGTTTGTTTGCAGACGTCATATTCAAATCCTTCAAGAAACATTTAAAATAAACATTTGACATTTTTGTAAAACTACAAACCTGGTGTGTGAACTCATTTATACCGTAAAAAAAAGCCCACCACATTCAGAGCTCTCCATCCCTGAGATGTACAAGCAGTGTTGATACAGACCTGGATCTTGCGGAAAAGAAAAAGACAGATGGAGACAAGCGAGCCTCTCGGTCCCCACAGGGGCTGCCTGTGTTTTTAATAATCACTCTCTTCTCTCCACCTGAGAGTGCAGAGCCACTGGCGCAGCCTATTTATATCCAGGAAGCAGGAGGAGCAGCACACATCCTCCGTTGTTCAGAGCCTGGTCACAAGATGAATCGATCCATTTTCCAGGAGGGGGGATTTTACATCTGGGTCAAGCTGCATGAAATAATTAAATGTTGGAAAGGTTAAACGGAGGGTGGTTTTTAATTCCTCAAATCACCTGATTACTGCTGAAAATGAGTTTGATTATGGATTATACTGGTCTTTACTCTGCCTTTAAATGTTAGTGTTTGTCTGAAGTCTGAGCTTCTAAAATACAGATGTTTTAATCACATGCTCACTTATTTACATTGATTTATTTCTTTATTTATTAATAAAAAAATGTTCTAGTTCAAAAGCAGCAATGCTGTATAAATTTTATGATTAGTAGGTCACTGGGCTAAGAGTGAGTCTTATTAACATGTTTGTCATCATCAGGATACAAGGAAGATAAACATATTAAAACCACAGAGTTATTGATATTCTTCAGTCTTGGAAGGATTTCAGGAACCATCTTTAAAGATTAGGGTTGACAATCCAACTATACTGGTACCCTCACCAGGAGGGATCATCTAACAAAGAATATCATGAATTTGTTACAGATCTCAATAGCTCTCCTAGAATAACCTCTCTACAGACATTTTATGTTTATATGTCCAACATCAGAAAAACTCTGAGAACAAAATCAAATACTTATTTGCTTCAACTTATCAGTACCAGTTTCTGTTGGGACCCTATGAACCAGGGGTACCCAAACATTTTCCCTAAGAGGGCCAAAATTAAAATCAATATGAGGGAATATAAAATATATGAATATAAAAAATGCAAATACTTAAGTAAAGTTGTTTTATTTTTTCTGATTAAGCTAGCGGCCAGTGTGGTTGCCCACATTCTTTTAATTTTTTTTTTCAGCCAACGGACATGGAGAAAATTCAACATATGCTCAGGCAGCAAAGGCTCATGGGAGTATATGTGGTCTCATAAGGTGTGTAAATCTATTTATTGGCTTAAATCTAATCTA